TGTATTGTGTTTGAGGCAACATCAGCAAATATGAAACTTCAACCCATGTTCTTTGACCTGAAACGGCTGTTTAACATTATACAAATAATCAAGGGATGAAAAACACGTATCTGAGCTCACCCTGAGATTATCTCGCTAAAATTTTAAGAAAATATGCATTTGTGTACTTTATTAGTTGTGTAGATTATCATAAAAACAACTATGCTGAATAGCTTCCAAGCAGAGTGAAGCTAACAATAAAATCTTTATAAAGTGGTTGATGAAATGGAGATGAATTAAAATCATTTAAGATTTTCTAAACAGAAGACCTTCTAATTAACCTCCTAAAGGGTGCACCACTTTAGCAACAACTTCACTTTCAATGATAAACAGCACTTAGACATACAAGGTCCACCTATGCTACCCACTTGGCTCCTTTTTAACGCCATATTATCCATGGGTAAACTGGAACAAGCCATCTTTAAGGAACTTGCCAACGAAGATGATACACTAAGTATATATTTGCAGTACGGACCAGTGGCATGGAAAGTGTGTGACAATTCAGGAACTGTATCAGTTCTGTTTATCCAGGAATCAATTTTTTATGCAATAGCACTACAGTGGTACCTTGGTTTGCAACCGCTTTGGATTACAACCGTTTTGGATTACAACCATGTCAAACCCAGAAGTGTTCCTTTTTTTTGGATTACAACCAATTTTGGTTTTGCCCCATTGGCGAAAGCGAGCCTTGGGTTACAACCTGTTTTGGTTTACAATCGGACCTCCGGAACAGATTATGGTTGTAAACCAAGGTACCACTGTACTGAAAAATGCACACATGTCTTTCATCAGGGTTCTCCTCACCAAACAAAACAAGATAGCTATACACTGATATTCATATCTGCTGAAACTGGGATTCCTGTCATCCGAAAACAAATCAAGTGCTCACAAATATTAAAAAGAAGGTACTCAGAATATGCCATTATCCATAAAAGCCACAAAGCATCTGTCTATCCAAACAATCCATCTACTGTTAAGATGAAGAAGATACTAAGAAGGAGCACCCTAAGACGTGGGTGGCATACTTTTAATCTACTATCTCCTAAGTAAACCCCTTGCCAGCCACTTCACAATACCTTGAAAAAGCTAACAGAAAGCCTTCTTTCATTCCACAAGTCTCCAAATGTCTGCCATCAACCCAGGGTCATATCACTGTGAATCCAGTCATTGAAATACCTGTGCTCATCTTGAAGAAATTGTTGCTTTCAAAAGCAGAATGACTGGCAAGAAATTCAGGAGAACGTTGTATGTTATAGAAGGCAGGTGTCAATGCCACATGCAATGTGTTGGAAAGACTACATAATTTTGCACCCATTTCAGAAATGGCAGGTCACCCATCACAACAAAAGAACTTGAATAACTGATAGAAAAGCATTTTCAACGTAGATACTACCTTTCAGACTTAGAAATATTTCCAATTGAGAGATCATCCAGTCACGACACCCCACTGGTCACACTAGAAGCAAGACATAACTCCTTAAGTCAGAGCATCCTAACATTCTATAGCCTTAATTTAAAGAACAACATTGGCAAGTGTATGTGGTGTTGTTTTGTTTTGTTTCTAAAACATGATCTCCCTAAGAACTCTTTCTCTCCTTTGCATTCTTCGAATTATTACCTTGGTCCCCAGTATCTGGTCTGTAATGCAGATATATTATGCACAAAGTTGATCAAGTAAATATTAGTATATAGCTTCAGATAAAAAAGTTTTGGCTTGCAATAACTTTTAATTTGTAATATTTTTAACTTTATCTGATGGTTGTGTTTATCTTTCCTTTGTTGGACGCAACTCTTGAGTGTGTTTGCAGGAGTTGGATGTAAATAGCAAAGTACTGTTACTAAAGTTCTTGTAATAACAAATACATTTGGCCTTAAGATGTAATGGGTAATTTTCTGCTTCTACATACTTAACTACCCTTTCAAACGAAATATACATAACACATATCTTGCAGGTAACAAAATGAAAGAGGAAGGGAGAAAAATTTTGTTTTTTGTTTTCAGTTGCATGTATAACCAAAACTAACATCATTATTTAAATATGAAGTACAGTATTGATTTCTTTAGATATGTGACCCCAGTAAAGATTGCGAAAATGTAAAAAAAATCCTCTAAAATATGCTGGAAATGTAAAGATAATGAAGGTACGTTTTTGCATATGTGGTGGACCTGTAAAAAGGCAAAAGACTTCTGGGAAATGATATATAATGAATTAAAAAGATGTTTAAGAAAACTTTTCATAAAAAACCAGAAGCCTTTTTTGCTTGGAATAACGGGGGAAGAAATACCAAAGAATGTAAAGAGACTATTTATGTATGCTACAATGGCTGCTAGAATGCTATTTGCTTAAAAGTGGGAAGAGGAGGGTGTACCAACGAAGAAAGAATCGATAATTAAGATGATGGACTATGCCGAAATGAAAAACTTACTGTGAAAATCAGACACCAAGACAAGAAATAATTCGAGAGAGATTGGAAAAAAATTATAGACTATGTTAAAGACCACTGTAAATATGTCAAAATATTAGCAGGATTGGTGTAGCATTTATGAACTAATTTGATATTTTAGTTAAATATGAAGAAGCGAAAATTAATTGGAAAAGTAATTATATGCAAGGGGAAGAAATGAAAAAAAATTGGAAACCGGGGGGTGGCGGTCAAACAAGATGAATTTGGTGTTAAGATGAATGGGAAAATGTTGTTATTTTTCTAAAAAATCTTGGAATTTTAAAAAAAAAATTAAAAAAGATTTCTTAATACTGTATATGTTTTAAAAACCCACTGTTACCCAACCAACATATTAGGTATATTGGCTCCTAAATAGTATAGTTCCAATAAAAGGATTTTCTTCTTCCATGTAGATAATGACACCTTGAAATATATACAGCTGCTGACAATGAACGTAAAATAATACAACCTTCTAATTCAGGATTCTCTAGCCTTTTCTGTAAATCTTATGGTTAATCTTCAAGACAGTTACTTTATGGGACTCTCCATGAATGTCCCTGCACAGCAACTGAATTGATTGCTCTCTTTTTCTTGTTCAGGAAATACATACAATGCTCCATCAATTCCATGTCACCTGTTACCCTCACTGTGAATCAACCACCTAAAAACACAAATATGTCCTCCAAACAATATGTAAATCAAAAATGGAGGGACAGTTCTCAAGGTCTTCCTATACCCACAAGTCCCTCCACATCACACTACATAAAAGAAAAACATTAACTTATATAAAAAGATGTAAAATAAAGGAAAGAAAATGGACCACACAATTATTGTTATTACAAGAAAAAACATTGAACAGAGATAAACTTAGACTGATTCATTTTGTTTTTCTAAACATAATATATGATAGAAGGCAAAAATACCAAAATGTGTGGGCCAGTGTCCTGCCATTCCATTACAAATCTTATGAATGTGATAGCAACAGGTTAGAAAGAGCTGAGAACTTAAGGATTAATAACTGAAATTACTTTTCAAAAGGGAAAAAAATGGATGAAGTGTGCGCACACACACTTTGCTTATTAGTGAGGATACCCATTTTTTCACATGTCTCAATATTATATAAATGCAGCAGTAAAATTCAGAAATGATGCAGTCCTAATTAGAGCTACTGTATAATGTGTAAACATTATGGCCAAAGAGATGAGAGTGTAACCTGAACACATCCACCATGTATGTGTATCACGGGTGAACGAGTATGCTAAGGTAAAACCAATATTCCTTGATGCATCATATTAAAGATCAAAAGCAGACTAAGGGATACAACCGTAAGTAGAAGGCATGAACTAGTGTTGTCACAACGGTTCAAATATCTCCCACAGTTCTGCAACCCATTTATCCATCCCCCCACCCAGCCACCCCCCAGAAAGTAGGTCAAAAAGAAAAGCAAGGAAATAATCACAGCGCAGCTATAAGCAAAACAGTGCAAATTGCCCTGCTTTCCACTGAACTGTTAACCCTCCGTTATGATACCACACACTCACTTCACGGTTTGGGCAGAGTTTTTGTTCCAGAGATTGTTTGGTGCAAGTTCAGAGGATCACCCGCCCGCCCCCCAACCTCCAACCGCCGGGTGCTTCGCCTCAGCTGTCAGCACAGGGAACAGGCAGGCTAGTCTTAACCTGTCGCCCCCGAGAAGTCTCCTCGACAGGCACCTTGGCACCCCGAAGTTCGCCGGCGCTGTTCTTCCTGTGGGTGCTCTGGCGGCGAAAAGGCGCCAGGAGTTTGTCCTCGCCAGCGCGAGCCAGAGAGCCTTGCATATGTGCAGCACGTTCCAGAAGCCAGAACACCGTCGGCAGGCAGGCGGGGAGGTATTTTGGTCTCCCTTTTGGGTGGCTTAAACTAATTTTAATAATATTTTTATATAAAAAACCCCTAAATGCCTCCTCCGCCCGTCTCCCCACCGCCACCCCGGTCATCTTTTGGTACCCCTCTGACGGGGAAAGCGAGTGTGTTGCCCACCTCCCCGCACCGCCTAGGTAAACAACCCACGCCAGTTCCCACGGGTTTTTTTTTGGTAAGGGCTGAGGGGCCAAAAGCGTTGCTGCACCACCTCGGCGTCCCTTGGCTACTCGCCTCCCCCCCCCCTCCCCGCCCGGGAGTATCTTACCTTTGCCGCTATCCTTCCTAGCGGAGGCGGCAGTGGCGGCGGCGGCGGCGCGCGCTCCCTCTCCGCCTGCCCGCCCCGCGCGCCCTGAAACGAGGCTCCCTCGCTGCTTCCGCCGGAGAGGCGAAAAGGCGCTTTCTTTTCTGCGCCTCCCGACTAGCGCTCGTTGTTGCTCCTCCACCTGATGCTCCCCCAGCAGCGCCCAGCAGCAGCAGCAGCAGCAGCCTCGGTCTCTCCTCGGCGGCGCCTCTTCGTGAGCAGCAGCGGCAACAGCGGCACCTAAGGCTGCCTTACAGCTCTGCCAGGCTGCCCAAAGCAGCGCGCTGAACGGCAACGTAACACAGTTGGTGTGTGTGTGAAGGAGGGGAGAGGGCGGGACGCCACTTGTCGAGGCTGCTCTGCTCAGCCAGGCAGCTCCAGGCGCTGACAGACCCTCTCCAAGCACGCAAACACCAGTTGCGCCCTGGTCAGTGGGGACGGCAGAGAGCTCGCGTGGCTTTGGGAGGAAGGGGTGGGGGAAAGAAAGATTAAATCTCGGGCAGGAGGCTGAAAGATTAGCTTCAGAGATCCGTGGGGGCACAAATGATCCTCCACCCCTTCTTTAATGAGCAAGGGGCATACTAGCCGTCAGGCAAGGGAAGTCATAAAATGGGGCCTACACGGGATGTTATATATCGCAATGTAGTCTGCGCCGCTTTGTCAGACTTCAATACTTCAGTCCTTACAAGCTGTTTAGAAGTTTCTCAGATAAGAAGTGCTTCTCTGTGGCCATATTTGCCCAAACTGATACTTCACGGCACATGACACTCCTGTGTTTTTCTCATAAAATTTGCACACCGTCATTATTTGAACATTACCCATTTCCACCTGCAGTTTCCTACAAGGAGGTGGTCTTGTGAAAGAGAGGAGGTTTCTCTGTTTGCCCAAACCTGGAATAGCCTGTATTTGCTTTACATAGTACAGTATTTTGCATAGCACACATTTGCACAGTCGTTTCTTGCCACACAGAAATTGTTTTGCATGCACATATGTACTAAAGGTTTGAAACCAGATTGATTTCCTTATCTCGCCCCAAAAGCCCCACAGTTTTGTACAGTATGCAACAATTCTTAACTGGATATTCTTTGTCCCTTTGTGTGACTACAGTTCCCAGGATTTATACTGATATGAGACAGAAACTGAATGAACATGTATTCCAGCTAGTAATAAAAGAGGTAAGGCAAAGCTGCATTTAACCATAAAACTGATAGGTCCAATCTCCTTCCACTCCTCCAAGAATGCTACTTTTATAAACCATTTCCGCAAGGGAGGAAGAGGGGCTGTTTGCACAACTGGCAAGGCTTGAGCAGGCCCTCTGCATAGGGCCACTGGTGGCCACCACACATGCTGACCTGGGCCTCCATCAGGCACTACCACCACCAGTCCTGCTCCTTAGTAGTGCTGCAGTTGCCAGTTACTCAGCCTATCCTGGACGGGATTACCTTATAGTGTTTTGAGGGTGGAGGCCAGGGTATGCCATGTTATATCACCCAAAACATGGCTGGTGCAGACTGGAGCTGAGTGAGCCCTTGGCACTCATCGCAAAAGCTCCGGTGCCATCAAGTAAGCCCATTCAGGGTGAGTGGGTGAATCACTGGCAGTTCTGTGGCTGCAGCACTGCCTGTGGGAGCAAGAGTTGGTAGCCACTGATAGCAACAGTGGTGGGTAAGCATTGATAAAGGCTGGTTCAGTGGGGGAAACAGGGTACTGCCCCACCAACCTCAGTCCACCTTCAGCCAGCTTCCAGACTTACAACAAATCTGGGTGATGGAACTGCTTGTCAGCTTCCTCATCCATTGTCTCAGAATCCAGCCACAGTGTACATTTAAAGCAGTACCATACCACTTTAATAGTCACGGCTTCCTAGGAACTGTTGTTTGTTAGGGGTGCTGAGGGTTGTTTGGACACCCCTAGTCTCCTCAGAGAGTTATAATTCCCAGGATTCCCTGGGAAGAGGGATTGATTGTTAAACCACTGTGGCAAAAGATGTTGCGAGGTCTGTGGACTGAGCCTGCCATGATGTCAGTGAAGCAAGGCATGAGATTCTACAAGGACCTACTTCACTGAAAGACAATATGATTGCAACTTTCAAGTGATATTCACAGAAAAAAATCCTAAAGGGCCTTGTCCATGGAATATAGAGGAATAATTACAAATATAGAATTCTCTATCTGAGCTGTGGATTGGGGATTATCTGATGTCTTTAATGGGAAACTGTGGTGAGAGTCCTAAGCAAAGGTGATCAAAGCCATCTGTTTGTTGTTGACAGAAGAGTGCCTCCCAGCGAGGATTGATGAAGAGGTGTTGTTTTTAGGAGTTTATACAATCAAACTGCTGTGAAACATGCTATGAATTTTTTTGCCACTTTAAGTTCTTATGCACCTTATAGCACAGCAGTATTAATTGCTATTTATTTTACAATGTATGATCAAGCTTCAAGGAACTATGAGCACAATTCTTTTAGCCCCTATGAAAATTTGTTAATTTTTGTACAATTTGGTATAGTACTGCCATGCAGTGATATTAGATATATAGTGCTGTTGTCATGAGATTACATTAGGATGATTATATTTGTTATTAATTGATATGTTTTAACTGAAGGACAGTTTGTTTTATGATGATTTTAAGTGTTATTTATTTAACTTGAGTTATTTATTGATTTACTTATATTTGATATTGTAATGATGTATTGATTTGCATTTCGGCTGTAAACCACTTTAAGCATATTTATATGGCAGGAAGAAACAAGAGATACAAACCCTTCTCCTTCTTGTTGCCCTCTCTCTCTTTGCTCTCTTCTTACCAACAGTGAAGCAGGCATGTCTCTGCTCCAGCCAGGCTCCAAATATAAGTATTTTGCCTGTATAGTTTTTACTGCTGCCTTTGCTGGGAACCAATGCAAGACTATCGAGTAAGTAAATCATATTTTAAACTTACTTTACAAGTTGTTTTTTGTTTTTGTTTTTTGTTAAGTGAGGTAAGAAGGGGAAAGCCAGCTTACTTCGTTAGCTGGACTTGCTCAAAAGGCAGGTTTTGCAGCCTAATTCCCAAAGCTTCTATTTTGCTGCCAAGGATGAGATTTTAAAACCCTCTTTAACTTACACACATGGGAGACTGAAGAGATAAATTGTAGTTAATATACCCTCTCATACTCATCAAACCAACCCCACACAAGTCAAATTTAACTTCCAATAGTAGTCCAATAACAACCATTCTATGTGCGTCCAAAATTGATGCGCAGTCACACACTTGTTGCTGATGCAGAAGTTGCCCGAAAACAGGGCCGGGGCAACAACTACCAGACTTTTAAAAGACATCTGAAGGCAGCCCTGTTTAGGGACGCTTTTAATGTTTGATGTATTACGATATTTTAATATTTTGTTGGAAGCTGCCCAGAGTGGCTGGGGAAGCCCAGCCAGATGGGCGGTGTATAAATAAATTATTATTATTATTATTATTATTATTATTATTATTATTATTATTATTACTACTACTACGCTTCGCTGAAACACACAGGGATCAGGAATGGAACCCCTGTGCAAAATGATTGCCGCTTGTATAAGAAAGAAGTCCTTAATTGCTAGCATGAAGAGGGATCTGAGAATCTCCTATTAATTTTTGAAAGCTGTTATTTTTTTGCTCTGCATTTCAGCAGCTCTTAAGATATCATAATGAAACCATGCATAACAATTCCTAAAGTCAATAAACAGGGTTTCGTCTATGTTTTGATACAATTGGACACCATTTTGAATTAAGGTGGTGGACTGAAACTTAAAAACTGCACCGACTTTAACCACTGATTTTAAAAATGCACTGATTTTCCACCTTAGAATTCTGAGTAACGCTGGGTTTGAGGCTGCTAGTATCCTGAATAAGGAGAATAAAATGTTATTTGGGAAATTATTTTAAAACACCTCCTGTGGATACTCTCAGAGCAATCACTTGCCAGCAAGAGCAAAGAGCTACCATCCTTTCTGCACACTGATGGAACATCCATCATATCCTATGTTTGCTCAGGCTACACCACTCTGAAAAGGACAGATGATGCTACCAAGTCTGAGAGGGCCCTGGTCCAAGTGTCCTCTGCCCCCCTGCTGTGTTCCTGGTGCTACTTTCTCCACTGCAACACTGGTGACTTTGCTCCCACTCTGCTTAGCAGGTGGCGGTGGGAAGAGGTCTCTCTCTTATTTATTTTTTAAAAAATATTTACACCCAGGGTTGGGTGGCTGGGCATGCTCAACAATAAAGTGCTGCTCAGTATTGGAGAATGGAGATGGTGGGCAGGCCAGGACAGTGATGCTTGAAAAATAATTAAAGTAGCAGGTCCTGCGTTCATTAAAAAATAAATAAATGCATAATTAATATGACATGAAATATTCTGATGAAGACTGAAGCAATTATGTCGATGTGAACTGCCGTAGATTAAAAAAAACACAAAGCAGGTAGGGTGATAGCAATGCCACAGAAGCAACTTGTCATCAGGGCACAAAACACCTCTTCTGCCTCTGCAGAAGTTTAATTGGAAGCTACAAAGCAGACTCTTGCTAATTCTCCTATATTAATTAGGAACCCTGCTGTGGATTTTCAGATTATGCACATTAGTGAATAAACAAACAAGCTTGAATCATCATTACAATCCAGGAAGTCATGCTACAGAGAGCATTTTGTGCTCATTTGGGTTAGTGTCAATTAGTGTTGTTTATGGGGGAAATGTGCTTATATATTGGTAAATAGGCATTAGGGATGATTTTTTTTTTTTGTTTAAGTAATGGGCTCTCTAATCTCAGAATTTCAGTTGATGTAGTTTTTTGTAGCATTTTTGCAAACAGGATTTTATCCGTGTGTGTCTGTCTGTGTGTGTGTGTGTGTGTGTGTGTGTGTGTCCCCTAAGTAGACTGCACCCATTAGAATTGGAGGACTGTACATATATTCCACCACAGAATGGAGGGGCAAAACCCTCCATTCTGATAATCCCAGCTTTCATAATTATACAAAACAAGTTCTTAGCCACGAAGAAGAGATTAAAGTCTGTGAGCAATGCTAAGGTGAAGTCTCCACATCTAGAGTGGGATTCAGTATTTTTAGTGAATGTAAGAACAAACAGCAAGCTATGTATAGTTAAGTAATTTTTGACTCTGAACAACTTGGAGATATCTTACTACCCTTTCCTTTTACTGGATCTTTTATGGGGGGAAATTGAATATCACTGATCCTGGTATACAGGTGCTCAGAAAATTTCTATTACTCAGTAGTTTTTGTAGAGTGACTTTAATCAATGTAATATCCACTGCGTTTCTGCCACCCACATGTGTGCTGATATTCTCAAAGAGTTGGTAGGAAGTGTTATTAAAGCTGGAATGATTAAGCATGTGGAAAAAAATCAGTCTTGTAGAAGAAGGATCTTAATTGCTTCTGCAAAGAGGCATGCTGCTTCACTACCAAAAAAGGCCCTCCAACTGCAGAGGGGGTGGACAAACAAAAAAAGGACTTCTGAATTTGGAGAAAAGCAGAGGTATCATTGGCAGAGGTCTGAGTCCTAGGCTATGTCCATGCAATACATTTTAGACGCATGGCTGGCCCCTCAAGCATCCTGAACTGTGTAGTTTGTTTTTTTTTTTTTAATTAAATTTTTATTGAAGTTTTAACAAACACCATAACAAAAAAAGAAAAAAGAAAAAAGCAAAAAAAAAAAGCAAAAAGGCATAACATACAAATACAAAAGATAAAACACGTATAACCTCAATTTTTACTTTCTTTAAGCTTACTTTCACGACTTCCTCATACCTTCCCTTTCTGTATTCTAATTTCAGATTCAATTTTCAGCAGATCCTTTCCCTACTTTTAAGATAGTTTTAGTAACAGATATTTTCTTCCAATTATCCCTTACTGCTTTTAACCCCTTAAAAACCAATCCAACATTTTTCTAACCTTCATTAATTTTACAATATTTTTTTAGATACTCCTTAAACTTCTTCCAATCTTCCTGCGCCGTATCGCTTCCCTGGTCACGGATTCTGCTCGTCATTTCTGCCAGTCCCATATAGTCTATCACCTTCAGTTGCCATTCTTCCACGGTGGGTAGTTCTTGCATCTTCCAGTACTTTGCGATGAGTATTCTTGCTGCTGTTGTAGCATACATTAAAAATGTTCTGTCTTTCTTTGGCACCAATTGGCCGACAATGCCCAGGAGGAAGGCCTCTGGTTTCTTAGGGAAAGTGTACCTGAGTACTTTTTTCAGTTCATTATAGATCATTTCCCAGAAGACCTTAATCTTTGGGCACGTCCACCAAAGGTGAAAGAATGTTCCTTCAATTTCTTTACATTTCCAACATTTATTATCGGGCAAATGATAAATTTTTGCAAGCTTGACTGGGGTCATGTACCACCTGTATATCATTTTCATAATATTCTCTCTTAAGGCATTACACGCCGTAAATTTCATACCTGTGGTCCACAACTTTTCCCAGTCAGCAAACAAAATGTTATGACCAATGTCCTGTGCCCACTTAATCATTGCAGACTTAACCACTTCATCTTGTGTATTCCATTCCAACAGCAAGCTATACATTCTTGACAAATTCTTAGTACTGGGTTCTAACAGTTCAGTCTCTAATTTTGATTTTTCCACCTGGAAGCCAATTTTCCTATCTGTTTTAAACACTTCCATTATTTGATGATAATGAAGCCAATCTCTCACTTTCCCTTTTAGTTTTTCAAAACTTTGGAGTTTCCATCTGTCCCCCTCTTGTTCCAGAATTTCTCCATATCTTGGCCATTTGGCCTCCATATTAAATTTTTTAATGGCCTTTGCCTCCATTGGTGACAACCACCTTGGAGTTTTACTTTCCAGCAAATCTTTATATCTAGTCCAGACATTATATAGTGCTTTCCTGACAATGTGGTTTTTGAACCCTTTATGAGCTTTGACCTTGTCGTACCAAAGATATGCATGCCACCCATACATATTGTTATACCCTTCCAAGTCTAAAGTGTCAGTGTTCTCAAGAAGCATCCATTCTTTCAACCAGCAAAAGGCTGCTGATTCATAGTAAAGTTTTAAGTCCGGCAGGGCAAACCCCCCTCTGTCTTTCGCATCAGTCAATATCTTGTATTTTATTCTGGGCTTTTTGCCCTGCCAGACAAATTTAGATATATCTTTCTGCCACTTCTTGAAACAATCCATCTTGTCCAATATTTGCAAAGTTTGAAACAAAAACAACATTCTAGGCAACACATTCATCTTAATAACTGCTATTCGACCCAACAAGGAAAGCTTCAAATTTGACCAAATTTCTAAATCTTTTTTGACTTCATTCCAACATTTCTCATAATTATCTTTAAATAAGTTCAGATTTTTTGAAGTCATATTAACACCCAGATATTTCACTTTCTTAACCACAGTTAACCCTGTCTCATTCTGAAACCTTTCTTTTTCCACTGATGTTAGATTTTTCCCCAATACTTTCGTTTTTAATTTATTCAGCTTAAATCCTGCAACCTGACCAAAATCTTGAATTAACTCTAAAACTCTTTTTGTACTAGATTCAGGCTCTTGCAAAGTAAGTACCAGGTCATCTGCAAATGCTTTCAGTTTATAATGTTTCGCTCCGACCTGTACACCTTTAACCAACTGGTCCTTCCTAATCATGTTCAACAGCACCTCCAGGACCGATATAAAAAGCAATGGAGAGATTGGGCACCCCTGACGTGTCCCTTTTTCTATCTTTAGTTCCTCTGTAACCACATTATTTACAATAAGTTTTGCTTTTTGTTCAGAGTATATCGCACCTATACCATTTTCAAACCCTTGGCCTACCCCCATCCCCCGAAGGTTCTTCATCATAAAATCCCAAGATATATTGTCGAAGGCTTTCTCGGCATCCACAAATATCAGGACTGCTTTAGTGTTAA